GGCCCGGCCCGGCCCGAAGATAGTGGCAGGAAATATCGGCCCCACCCGGCCCAGGGCCCGGGGTCGGGGAGAGAAACTAAACTCCACTGCACATCACCCCAAAAACACCATACCAACAGTGAAGTTTGGGGGTGGGAACATCATGGTGTGGGGCTGCTTTTCAGCATAAAGCACTGGCAGACTTCAAATATTTGAAGGAAGGATGAATTGAGAAATATACTGAGGCATTCTTTATGAGAATCTGCTGCCATCAACCAGGGTGCTGAAGATGAAACGAGGGTGGACATTTCAGCAAGACAATGATCCCAAACACACAGCCAAGGAAACTCTCAGCTGGTTTCAGAGAAAGAAAATAAAACTGGTAGAATGACCCAGCCAATTACCTGACTTGAATCCAATTGAAAATCTATGGAAAGAACTGAAGATCAGAGTTCATAGGAGTGGCCCCGGAACCTTCAAGATTTAAAGACAGTTTGTGTGGAAGAATGGGCCAAAATCACACCTGAGCAATGCATGCAACTAGTTTCCATACAGGAGGCGTCTTGAAGCTGTCATTACCAACAAAGGCTTTTCTACTAAGTATTAAATCAATTTCAGTAAGCATGCAATACTTATTTCCTGTGACCTTTCACTTTATTACACATAACTTAATTTATGGACTTAAATGTTTTGATTTCTTTGTAATTGTGGATTACTTGGGTTGTTACTGACATCTGGTGTAAATTTTATGTCAATAACCCCATAAGAAATATATTTATTGAAAAAAATGTTTCACGTTCAATACTTATTTTTCCTGTTGTATTTGGTGGACAGAGCTGCAGAAATAACTTGGGACAAGATGAAAGAGTCGACAGAGTTTGTGTTACAGAATGAAATGCGTCCTTTACCAGGCTGATGAGCAAAAAGTAGTGTGAAAGAAATCCAGATGGACATGTGGTCAGAGAAAGAAAAAAACAGAGCAGTGCAGGTTGGAGATGGACACACTAAGTCAAATGTGTGGCCTTTACAGTGGGCAGGGAATGACACATGCTGTGTAATATGGTGGCAGTTAAGCAGTGGAAGGAAATCATCTGAAGTCTTATAGTCAGGTTGATTAGCATGAATATTAACCTCACCACAACGCAGCAGACACAAGGAGAGAGAGAATGAGGTGGTAAGGAGTTCAGAGAGAAATGTAGGGCAGTGTTTTGGTGTACGGTTATTCAGCAGTGCTGTAACAGAGCAGGGTAATTTAAATGCAAGATATTCAAAAGATTTAACTGTAGTGAGATTAACTTCAGTGATTTTGAGATTGTAGGATGAGGTTTACATGTGAGGTGTAGCTAAAATTAGGGGGAGTGGATTGATTCAGGGCATAAAAATCACATGGATGGCTGCTGGGTTTCGGTGAGAAACAGCATGTCAACATTATTATCCATGATTGGTCTAGGTAAAGAGTTTGAATGGAGTCTGTTGAGGTTGAGGAAGAGCCCTTATTATGACTCCAGCATATAGGAACATGTCAGTACATTCTCCATGGTCACGGACCCTTGTTGTTAAGCACAGGTGGTTCTCTGTGGTCAGTGTAATAGTACTGTACATACTATCAGGGTCATAGGCTTAGGTGTTGGTGAAATCTGCCAGTGTGAAATGTGTTAACTGACTCTCTTAATACTTTTGTAGCGATTACATGACAGTCATGAGATGGAAGTCCTGTCACCCACTGATCCCAAAGAACTGAACACAGCAGGTAAAAGAAAAGACTCTGTTATTCTGCGATTTGTTATAATGGACAGAATCCCTGAATCTTCCCATGCTGATGCCTGTCATGTCATGTCAGTGCGATTCTGAAGTAGGAAGCTGGCTTCTCCCCAGCTGTATCAATAATAAGCGCTGTGAATGTTTTAAGTTTGAATTATTAAGTAGGTGCTGTAGCTGCTGGGTTGTAAAACTGTTGGTAATTCCAACATTTCATCAATGTTTGGTTACATTAACACTATTATAATGTCAACTGAAAGGTAAATATCGCTTCATGGCCACTGCATGTATTTGATGAAGCACATTAATGTGGACCTTCTGCAGGGATCACATGACATTGAGGAGACTGAAGCATTGTCCCCCCCTGATCCCAATGGACCAAACACAGAGGAACAAGAACTCTGTGATTCTCAGGGTTCCTGACATTTATACCACTTCGGATCCAAGGACACTGTTACCTGATTTTGCAGTTTACTTTAAAAGAATAAGGAAGATATTTTCTTAAAATATGTATGAGAGTTGATGTATTTCATTTGCTGCTATGATTGTTGGAATGTAAACCATTTTTAAATGCTTAGTCACATTAAATACAGTCCTGTAACCTGATAGGTAAATTCCATTTCATGGTGACTACATTACTTATTTGACAGAAAAGGAATATAAAATGTGGCAACTAACACTTTTGCAGAAAGAGAGGAGAAGCAGTGCATTGCTGCACCCACCACACCACAAACCACTCAGGGATGAGAACCTGAGTGCAGCCATGCGGCAGGTCATACCTCAGCACCACACTAGTCCGAATGGACCAGTGTGAGTTTTATTTCCGGTGGCTGGAGTGCCGATCCTGCCACCAACCCCCAAGTAATTCCCTGTAAGTTGGAGGACCTCCTTATAGGGCTAGATGTGGATTAACATCATACCCAGGATGAAGTGATTGCAGGTTAATTACCTTGGTCAAGGGCCAGTATTGGGAAGATTTCTTTGGAAATGTAATTCGTTACAATTACAAGTTACTCTATTTAAAATGTAATAGTAGTGTAACTATTTCAATTACTATATGAAAGTAATGTAACTAATTACATTCGATTACTTTTTGATTACTTTTCTAAATTATGAATGAATATTCTCATCTGTTAACCATTATGAAATTTTGTAACCTAGCAGTGTTTACCTTACAGTAAACTCCTTTCAATACATGAATTAACATGATTATAATTGATCAATTTTAATAAAGATACCAAACATACCATACATACCATATAGGCCTAATAATGATTTTAAACAATGGGTAAGAATAGATCCCCACTTCATACTCAGTGAAAACCCAGATTCAAATATAGCTAAAATGTCAAAAAAAATGTTAAAACTCAGCCTACAGTTATTAAATTTTAATGTGTGTTCATACCCAGCAAACATGCAGACATTGGCCCCATGTGGGCAGACTGAGGGCAACGTGGGCTAGGGCAACCCATTTAGATACCACAGTGGCCCCATGTGGCAGTTGCTAGTAGGGACCCACATAAATATTACAGCAGTGGCCCACAGTGGGTTAATTGAAGGCAGCCCGATTTCAGTCAGAAGTCAGGAGGTCCCTCATTGGCCCAGTGTTAGATTGGTAGTTCTGGGCCAATGTAATGACTGCCCTGATTTTAGAAGCGAGCATTAAACAATTATAATTCATTAATTAATTTCAGTTAAAATATTTGTAATTTTTCTTATGTTATTTTTTAATTTAATATAATATAGTTTTCGAAACGCGCATATGCCTTTATGTATCCCATGCTATAACGTTTTTTTACCTCGCGTCATGGAGGTAGTTTTTGAGGGAATTTGTGAGGGAGTTTTGGCAGGCAGGCGTGAATTGTCAGAAGGTAATTATTTTTTTGATGGTTTTTTTGATGCTCCTGTTGCTGGTTATTTGCTAGTTATTTGCCTGTTGCTGTTGCTGGTTATTTGCTATTTACATGTATTTTAACATATTATTTATCTTACCAGTAAAAAATTCTTGGCAGTTTAAAATTTCCTGTCAGAAAGTTATCAGATTCGATTGCTAGTTAATGTACGTCTCAGTACACATTGGTGTGCAGCGGTTGTTAAATCATTGTGTTCAGTTTGTTTTTTAAAGTAGACCTATCAATTTTTCCGTATTTTCATAGGGGTGCTAGTTTAGCCTTTCGGTTTAAGTTTTATAAGAAGTATTGTCTGTCTTTGACTCCTCCCGCAGATCAATGCAATTTGCGGCCACTGCAATTTCAAGTCTGTTCCATGAGCTTAACGTTTGAAACAAAATGGTAACTCTTTCGGCCACTGATGGTAAAAGCGGTATCAATCAGCCAGTTGTGAGAGAGGCTGCGTCCCCAGATCTGCAAGTACTGACTCTCACCATTGCAAAAAAGCTTTTGCCTATAAGATATTATTACCACACGTTGAATTTCCTTAGATCAGGGTTATTCAACTCACGGTCCTCAAGGTCCAAGCACTGCTGGTTTATCAGCCTTCCTTTACCTGTCAGTCAGGTGTGAAGCCTCTGACCAATCAGAATCAGTAATTATAAAACAACTACCTGGGAGAACTGAAAACACGGTTTGGATTTGGAATCGAGGTCCAGAGTTGAAGAACCCTGCCTTAGATTCATTCAGATGGTTATTTACAGTATAGGGCTCGCAACCGCTCAAAAGCATTATTATTTAGCTTCGCACAGAATGGCAAATTCTATTTAAAAAAATGTTGCACTGTAAAGCCCTGCTTAGGTCAGTTTCCAAATTTAAGTGCCTGTTGTGTTACAAGGTATTGTGTATTTAAATTAATATAATTTTAGCTGTTTTTAATTTGATATTTTTGTTTATTTGTTAATACACAATTAATTTCTTTGCATGAATTAATACAACAGACATTAAACATGCAGACTCCTGAGCTGAAGTTTGTCTTCTGGTTTGGTTTTTGATTCTGAAACTGTTACTGAGTAACTGTACTGTACTGTAGTTACTGTTGGTGCTCTTTTTTAAATTTCTTTGACTAAAAATAAAATTAAAAAATTATACATAATGCATAATGTGTATTTCTCTCTCTTTCTGTGCGTGTGTGTGTGCGCGCGCATGTCTGTAATGTGTATGTGTATTTTTGTATGTATGTATACAGTATACACTCACCTAAAGGATTATTAGGAACACCATACTAATACGGTGTTTGACCCCCTTTCGCCTTCAGAACTGCCTTAATTCTACGTGGCATTGATTCAACAA